AAATTAAAAAGGGTTTTAAGCTCGATTGAAAAGAAAATCAAGTTCTTTCTTAGTTCTTCTCTAACTTGTAAGTCGTAATCTCAGTTCTTTATATAGTTCGCTTTTGTAAAGCGATAAGATATTCAATTGTAAATTCCTCAACTTCGATAGCGTATTACTGAATTCGATTTTTAACACAAACTTTTCGCTGTTTTTCACTTTACCTTCCTGTTTTTGTTCCCTTTTTCGGTGCCTTCTAATGATGGCCACTTCAGTGTTTCCGCCTGCCAGCGATGGTAAAGCGCAAAGGCTGGGAAAATGGGAAAAGCCAAAAGGAAAGCCATCGGCATTGGCAGCATCATCAGGGGCGTGCCGGGGGCGGTGGCTAGAGGGACGGGGGGTTGGCTGGTCTGGCGTGAATGTAGCTCGTAAATTTGTTAGTTTATTAGCGCAATTTCCGTTGCTAATTAATTTCCAGGCCACACACACAAATACACCAAAGAAAACGGAGCGGGCACTTGGAAAAAAACTCTAGAGCTTAAGAAATATTACAAATTTTCAAGCCCAATCAAAATGTTATTTAAATATTTACAAAATCTGTAATTGTAATAATTTTATATAAATCGATTCGACAATGAAAATTCTTGAAACATAAATGTTTTAATGTTTATTTGTATTTTTATTTATTATTATACCCGTTACTCGTAGAGTAAAAGGGTATATTAGATTCGTGCAAAAGTATGTAACAGGTAGAAGGAAGCGTTTCCGACCCTATAAACTATATATATTCTTGATCGGGATCACTAGCCGAGTCGATCTAGCCATGTCCGTCTTTCCGTCTGTCTGTCCGTCTGTCTGTCTGTCTGTCTGTCTGTATGTCTGTCTGTCTGTCTGTATGAACGCTGAGATCTCGGAAACTATAAAAGCTAGAAGATTGACATTTTGCATGCAGATTCTAGGAATTCCTACGCAGCGCAAGTTTGTTTCAAAAGGGTGCCACGCCCCCTCTAACGCCCACAATCGCAAATATACGATTTTAAAAATTTCAATATTTTGGAAAAGTAAAAATTCAGTTTTATTGTGTTTATCAATACCTATCGAAATGTAGAAGAAATTTTTTAAATCGGACCATTCGTTAAAAAGTTACGGCGGATCAAAGTTTTTCTCCATCTCTTTCGCACTCCCTTTAGCTGAGTAACGGGTATCTGATAGTCGGGGCACCCGACTATAGCGTTCTCTCTTGTTTTTGAATTATTTTTTAACACATATTCTTTTTTAATTTTTTTAAGCAGATTTAAACTAAAATGTCATTAAACATCCGAGAATTACTTTATTAAGACTTTAAATACTGTTTCATGATTTATTTAATTTTTTTGCTTATCTACTTAGTTATTAACACCTAAAACTTTATATTATTTATTTAAAATTTACGTTTTAAAGCTGCTTTTGTCAGTGTATTTTACGGTCATCTCGCTCTAACGCTAGAAGAGATATTAGTGACATGCAGCTTGCAGTTTTTAAAATGCCGGAAAATGGGGGAAAGTGAAGGGGTGGTTGCGCGGGGGTTGGAAGGACGCTTCAAGGATGCTGTGGTTTTGTTCTTGTGCCAGGCAATCTGCTGAGCTGCATATTTCTAATTAATTAACCTGCATGCTGGAGTGTACATACTTACATATATAAATATGTGTCTATATATATAAATAAATTCGTGTAAATATACTGCCACACACATATAGCCACCACTTATGCAAATTTTCAATTTCCGGCCATGTCTTAAGTAGAAGAACTGCTAAAAGGAGCTAGTTATCTTGATGATGCTCTCTGAAAGTAATTGTAAACATTTTTCTTTTCATATTCATTTATAACTCACTATGAAATTAAAACAAAAAGTTGCAAGTCGTTTTATTGGTTACCTAACAATTAACCTTAACTTTTATTAATTTCTTTTCCATAAACCTCTGTTTATTTATTATTTTTTAAAAAATAATATTGAGGGCCATTTTCCATTATTTAACTTCAGATATAAAGCTATCGAAACCAGAAATCTTAAACAAGTCTAACACAATATTATAATATTATAATAAAAAATAAGGAATAAAAATAAAAAAAAATTGTAAATAAAAAAATACTTTAATAAAAAATATTTATTTATTGGGTACTTATTCTATGGTTATAAATTAAATTATAAATTACCTATACCTTAGTTTGCTTTAAAACAAATTCAATTTTGGTCGTCTTAGCTAATTTCCTGTGCCTTTATAGTTTTTTATGTTAGAGTATTCTGCTCTATAAAAATAAAATCAGACTAAAAGCCGCTCCGAAGGAGGCCAGCGACAAGCTATAAATTATAATTTCCAAGACATGTTTTCGGCACATAGCGTGGGTTAGGGGTGCAAAAGGGGGGTATTGGGTGGGTGGGCCATGGGTTCAGGGGTCGGTGTGTGACTTTGACAAGTTTTGATGATGTGTGCCCCGACATAACCCCCTGCATACCCCCCAAATCTCCACCCATCCCCCCTTTGTGCCCAAAACCCACACCCTCTCGTGTAGGCAACATTTTTCAATTAACAAACGAACGAAAAATGTATGACATGCCACACATAGATACTCACTAATACTTCCATGGTAGCCACTCGACATGAGAAACGGTGCCAGGCACCTCCCAACCACCCCCTAACCACCCCCTTCCCGCCCATTTTCAACCTGATATACATCATTTTTCATAGGCTTTCAGCCATTTCCCTTGCTTTTTCCTCCACCGCAGCGCTTCGAATCAAAGCGCCAAAAACGTCCTGTCAAATGGGGAAAGGGGGGAATGCGGGGTGGGGGGTGCCAAACAGAGGTGTAGAGGGGGGCGAACCGGATCAGAGGGTAACTAACTAGCTAACTAACTAACAGTCAACGGACGAAGACAAGGGAAAATCACATCGAACGCAGATCGATTAGGAAAATACCCTATAAAAATATATAAAAATATACTTATAGAAATAAAAAGCAAGTAAGCATTAAATAAAAAATATATTTTAAAATCGCTAGTTTAACGATTATTTTAAAATCAATTTTTTTAGAGTTTAAAATTATTTTTTGTAGAAGAATTACAAATTTTTAAATATATTATATTCCACAAAAATAAGTTTTAGAGATATAAATTTAAAATTCAAAGTAAATTACATAAAAAAAAAAGATTTTTTAACAAATTCGTTAAATATCATATACAGGGTATCAAAAGGATAGATTATGTACATACATATATATTTGTCTATATATCACCACATATAAATATATGCATGGGGATTTGTCGGGGCGCCTGTGTGATGTACTTGTGTCATTCGTTTCGCCTTGGCAAAATGACAAGCGAAATGTTTGCTGCCACAAAATTTCATTTAGAAAAAGGGTTATTAATAATATCAAATTTGACGCTGGGCGGCCATTACATGGAGGACCTCTCACTCGGCTCCTTCTGCTTCTCCTCCTCCTTCTCGTCCTTTGTCTCTATTTCGGGGCCGTGTCCTGGGTTGTCCTTTTGGGCGTTTTGTGGCGCGCTAAACACCTGCTATTTTATGATTTTATTAGGCACTCAACACGCCACACGAAAAGGGGGATCCTTTTTCGCAACAGGGGCGGGGACTCCAGGGGGGCTGATGGTCTAACTTGACGTGTGGAAAACGAACTACACTCGATGTTTACAGGGGAAAAAGAGTGCCAATAAAAATATATTGAAAAGCTCACATAAAAATTTGTTTAACTTTAAAGTAGTTTGAATTTTCGAGTTTGCACATTGAAAATCAACTAAAACTATTTATTAATACGTAGTTTCATTTTTAGTTTGTTTTATAAAAGTATTCAACGGACGCAGAACAAATTAAAAGTAAATTAATATTTATTTTTTAACTAAACACAATTTTATTTATGCTCTAAAATGTTTATATAAAGTTTTTACTCTTTATACATTTTTTGGTTTTTTTAAATGAATAAAAATCGTATTTATTTTAAATACGAATTACATTTAATAAGAAACTTCTCCGCAGTTTAATTGTTATTTCTAATACATGTATGCATTTTCATAGTACACAACAGTTTTCTTTTCTTTTCCCAACTTTTACTTTACTCTCTTCTGCCCCCAGAATTTCAACCTCAAAATCACTTTCCAAAAAGTGACAGGAAAAGCAACGGTCAAGTGTTTTAAAGGCCAAAAGTGTCACTATGCCCATGTCCTTTTGTGTACAATTTCCCAAGGGGGGGGCAGAGGAGAGGGCGTGGCAGGGGCGGGCACTAGCCAGCGGTTGTATAAACGTTTTCTCATAAATAAACTGCCAAACATAAAATATGCATATGAATGCTGGCCTCACTCACTCACACAAAAGGCGCAGCACTTACACAGGCACATGAATTTAAATTGATTCAACTCACACAGACACAATGCACTGAGCGAAATTGAAATAAAAGAATCAGAGCCTTAAAAGGAGGATTATAAGGCATTATTATTATGATTTATTATTGTTTATTATTTGTTTGTTTTAATTAAATTATCTTTTAGATCACTGTATACAATTTGTATACCCGTTACTTGGGTATATTGTATTCGGGAAAAAGTATGTAACAGGTAGAAGGAAGTGTTGCCGACCCTATAAAGTATAGTCGAGTCGATCTAGCCATGTCCGTCTGTCCGCCTGTCTGTCCGTATGAGCGCTGTGATCTCAGCAACTATAAAAGCAATGGAGTGGGCGTTTTAGATTTTAATTTCATAGCTTCGCAATCAGCGTAGTTTTGCGTTATGCCACGCCCACTCTAACGCCCGATAGATAGAGATAGTTTGAATGAATCTGTTGCTTTAGGAACCTCATTAAAAATAAAGGGCCAACACTCATCCTAATTGTTCAAATCGGATCATTTATTAAAAAGTTATGCGCTACCGACTATAGCGTTCTCTCTTGTTTTTTTCATAGTTTTTTTTATTGGATCATAGAATTCCTTATCATTAAGGTAGGACATTAATATCAATGCATTAAACAAATTCGGGATGTAAGTAATTTCTCTTGATCTATATTTTGTTATCTGCCTGGCACAGGAATACATGTTCTCTGCTGCAAAATAAGTCATTCATTTCTCCGTTGTAAAGATGAATGCATTCCTCAGCTCCGTCGAAATCATTGGGCTCGTCGGGCTTCCACTTTAAAAATGGAGCTCGTCTTCCAGAGGCAACAGATACATACTGGCCTTCACTTGCCGAATCGTTAATGCCAAGCCAGTAATCAGTATCCTTTCTGAGCTTTGCTGTGATGGCATTCAGTTCATCTTGGTTTTGAATCGCCGCTAAATAACCTCCCATCTGTCTACATTTTATTTCAGCTTCAGCCCATGTCTTTTTAGTATTATTTTCTATGTAAAAGTACCTAGTGCCGATTTTCTGGAACTTCTCGGGAATATTTAAAACGTCTCTTTTTAGCTGGTCTTGCATATCTCTAAGTCCTGACTGAAGTTTTGCCGCAAAGTCTTTCTGCATTTCGGTACGCTGTTTTTCCATTGTTGTCTGAAGACTCCGAAGTTGGTTCCGTACTTCGGAATTGACAGCTTTTAATTTCGCATCGAACTCTTCTTTTGTGATTGCCTTTTTGCCATATTCCTCGATCACATCCAACCTGTTTAGGATTTTATCGTTGTCGTCAAACAGCGGGTGCAATGCGGACAAACAGAAGGCGCCACATTGTGTTGGGGCATCATGCAGAATGCACACGGTCCCTCCATTTTCCTGCGAATGAGCCGAGGATCCCCTCAAATTTAGTACAATAAGGGAGCAGCAGAAAAATATTGCCAGCCTCAACATTTCGGATAATTAGAACCACTCAAAGGGAAGTTTGATATCGCACTAGAAATTAAATATAATGGGAACAACAACTGAAAGGGATGTATATTATTGAAACAAAAACAACCTTCTCAGTTGAGTTCTGTATTGAAACTGAATTTTATTTTCGAAGTCCCTGCTTAGGAAACTAACATGAAATTCTTATTCCGGTCTTATCTGTGGCCTACGCAGAGTCCGCGTCTGCCTGAGCGGGAGAGTTATCATTTGACCCCGCACAGTAACCCTTGGTGCAGTGTGAGAAACATCTCAACTGATTATTTTCGATAAGGCTCAAGTGGCCTGCACTTAAAGATTACAAGTGCTAGCACCGCTCCCTTGTGAGGTTTAAAATTACAGATCATAGTTTATGGCGCTAGATCGATTTACAACTGTCACATGACATGCACAGAGCTCATAAAGTATTCTATTTTATTTTTAGTAGTGTTCGTCTGAACAACAACGAAGCCTCAATTATTATGAAAAGAAACCGAAGTTCGTCATATTGCTGATAAGGGGGGCAGAGCACATGTATCATTTATTAGGTTGTCTAGAAACCAGGAATTAAAAAGAACTGTTTTTATACCCTTGCAGAGGGTATTATAATTTCAGTCAGATATTTGTAAGGCAGCGAAGGAGGCGTTTCCGACCACATAAAGTATATATATTCCTGATCAGCACCAATAGCGGAGTCCATCTAGCCAGGTCCAGTTTTTTATTGTAGGTAGTACATATGTATGTAAGAGCGAGGCGGATCGGACCACTATATCTTAAGGCTCCCATAGGAATAATCAAACAAATATAAGAAAATTCATTGTAACTTTGTAGGCTGGAAGTAGGCGTTTTGATTTTTGACAACTTAAAAACAAAATTTCAAATAGCCAAGCAGAAGAGTCTGAAAATATGTATAAATACACCAATATTTTTGTTAGCTATCGTCACTTACATATTTGCAATGATTTTTAACTGTATATTGTTAAGTTTTATAATAAATGTCGAGAAGTAAAAGTTACCACACCAAATACAAACCGCCAAATCTCGAATAGCGAGGCGCCTATTTGGTCGGCTTAAGGTGGCAAAGTGGAGTGTTAGTGCTTCGAGGACCGTTGACCGAGGATCTTCATGTCCTGTTGAATGCTATTTCGACTGGCCCCTTGAAGTATGCTATGTTGGCAAAGTCCTGACATGGTCGCCAAGGGGGTGGAAAACGGGCTGGAAAATGGCACGGGGCATGGAAAATGGTGACGGGAAGAGGGGGGATATGTTCTGTGGCAGATTCAACGAGCCAACGAGGACAGGCGGCAAAGCAAACAAACAAACCAGCCAAGCAAAATGAAAACAAAAACAAGACGACGGCAAACAGAAGCAACAACTGGGATCTCACACACACACACATGTACAGAGAGACCCGCATTTTCCTGAAATGGCATTTGATGGACGGGGAAATTTTGGTGAGAGAGGGAGGGAGTGGGGGGGCGCTGGAAAAGCAACTCCAAGTCCCTGGCATTCTCCATATCCTTGTTCAGGTGACAGCCGCCTCTCGCACAAATGATAATAACTGGGCAAGCAAAATAATGTACGAAACAAGTTGGCAAATAAAAGGCAGAGGGGCGAAAAAGAAATGCAAAAGAAAGGTAAAGGGAAATGGCCAGTGGGCATGGGCACTGCAAGAAAATAATTAGCCTCTTTTAAATCCAAGACCTTTATTTGGCCTCACTGCGTATGAGTAATATTATACCAGGCAGACATTACGCATACGCAGTATGGAACTTCACTCTTATTTTAAGAATAAATAATGGCTGATTTATTTGCACTATTTTTATTTATTTTTTCTTAATCTTAATATTTTTATTTATTTTTAATGTTAATATATTTTTTATAATTTTTTTTCTTTTGAACATTTTTAAATCTCACCATTTTCCATACCTTTTTCTTTTCGAGTGTTCCCAAAAAATAAATATGTTCCACGGCTTTACGCCATTTTTATACACTCTCCTCTAGGATTCACTTCCTATTTCTCCTTCTAATCCTTTGCACCTCACTTCCTTTTATCCCCCCTCCCTTCTTTGTATGTTTCTGTGTGTTTTTTTTTAATATTTTTTTCGGCTTTGTCGCGTCGTGTGTTTTCTATGTGTTTGTGTCATGCAGTTGACGTGCGCTTATTTTCTATTCCGCTCCATATGTCACACTCACACTTGTGCGCACACATGTACGGACAAGGAGAAAGCGGGGAGAAAGTGGGGAGAAAGAGAGCGGGGTGAGGAAAATGCAGAAGCGGCGGCGCTTTTGTTGTGCATCGCTTCAATTTTTCGTGTTCACTTCTTTCTTCGGCTTTTTACTTCTTTATTTCTGTACTCAGTTTTTGTTTGCCTTTAAAAAATATGCTCTATAGAAAAATCCCTATCATAATAGTTAAAGTATGAGCTATTCTCATAGAATTAGATAAAAAATATTATAACATAATTTCTTGATTTATAATAATGTATGGTAATTTTAAAAATTATTAAAACAATTTAATCATTCCAGTTTCTAGCATTTAAATTTTAAAATATTTAAATTCTAAGAATTATAATATTTGTGAACGAAACTCCCCAAAAAAAAAATATATTCAATTAGTAAGAGTATTTCAGGTGCATCTTAAAGTTTCTATTTTTAGCTTTTTTGGTCGCTGAGCGAGTGTGAGTGTGAATTGCATATGTGTGGATTGCATTTGTGTGCGACTGTGTCTGAAATTTTGTTGTATAAATTGCGTTGGGAATAAGAATTGAGTTCTAAAGAGATTTAATGGCACATTCTGTCTTACTCCCTTGCTCCCGCCATCTCTTTCCGTCGCCATATAACGCTCTCTTTCTGCCTTTCATCTTCTGTCTCTATCAGTTGGCTGTGGAACATCTTACTTGACTTCTGCTTCTTCTCCATCGCAAATGGGTCTAAACAATATGTGCTTATATAAAGCATTTTGGCTTTGTCAATTTTGCATTTTCATTCTAAGAGTTTGCGGAAAAGGGGAGGCTGGAAAAAAGGGGGAAAGGAGGGGCCGTTGGTCAGGGGATTTGAGAAGCATGCAATTCTGGTCAAATCACTCGAGTCCCCATTTCCGTGTCCTATTAATGCAATGTGTTTGCGAATCGTTTCATCTTTGTGCCAATATTGGAAGTATCTCTAAATTTAATTGCATAAGTATTGCAAAAGGTCTTTAAATAAATAAGTTAATTTAAAGGATAAATAAAAGTAATAAAAATATAAGTATAATTTGGAATAGGTTGAACTATTCAACTATTTATTGCTTTGTTTTGAACAAAATACTACATTTTTTTAATATTAAGATTAGGTTTAAGAAATAAAACTAAATACAAGAAATTACAATATTTAATATTTTGATATCTATTTTTAAACAATATATTCAAATTGGAACTAATAATCCAACAATTTAATGGACTTTAAATAAACCTTCTTTTGTACATTTTATACAAACTTCAAAAAGAATTTTTAAATATCTATATAAGTTTTGTTTTTAGGACTAGTACAGTAGTACAGAAAAGAACCAGGAAATTGTTGTAAGAATCTCCGCCAGACCAAAAGCTATGTGTGCTAGCTATAATCTGAAACCAAATCGTGTTAAGAACATTTCCCCCTTTCACATACAGCGTTCGATGGAGCCTCTTTAAACCATTTTTTCCCCCCGCTCGAAATGCGTTCAACGAACTCTGTGTGCCAACAAAGGGTTAAGGGGGGCGGGCGGAGGGGCGAAGGGGCGTGACCGGGGTCGGTTAAAATCGCCTGCAGTTTTTCGAAAGCCTGGTAATATGAAAATTGCACTGGCTGTTAACCCTATTTGCTGTTGCTTTTGTGCCATAAACGCAGTCCTTCCACACCCCTTCTTCTTTTTTTCGTACCCTTCTTGGCACTACGCCCCTGGAGCTCCTGCTCCTCTTGTTGTTGTTGTTTATGCTGATTTCGTATCATCAGAGATTTCAGCTTGATGGCCTGTCAGGCTCCTGGCTTTGAAATGCAAGCTGGCAGAGCGTAAAGGAGCGAGAGGAAGCTATTTCTGCATTGAAAAAAATATTTTAATATAATCTGGTTTAAGAAGCAATAGCAAGGAATTTACACTTTACAAATGAAATAATTTTATTTAAAAATAACGGTTATAAAACACATAAATAAATATCTACTTTTAATAAATAATGTTTATTATTAAATGGATTTTTAATAACTTATTTTCTAATACAGATTTTACGGTTACAAAATAAATAAATGCTTTTTCTGAAAGGCTTTAACTTACTTTTACTTTACTTTTACTTTTATTTTGTTTCTAAAAAATGTCTAAAAAATCAATCGAGTTGCACAAGTTGTTTGCGATTTTAATCACTTTATTTTTACAACCATTTGGAATCATTAAAAATAAGCAAATTGTATTTACCTCTACTGAGAGGACATTTTGGTGAGTGTAGTCATTGGGGGCAAAAAGTGTAGCATACTTTTCAGCGCTGCCTGATTATATGAAGCAGAGCCTCGCTGGCGGGCACTAAAAGGGGGTTGGGTGAGCCAGTGGGGTGTAGGGGGTGGGGGGGGGATGTTGCAGCAAGTGTGGAAGAATGTGGTGCAGCTGAGGGGCTAAAAGGTGGGGGGTGGAGTGCAACTGCTAGCCAAGCACAAAAACTGGGCTGCTATCTGCTACTGCCACCAGAGGTAAAGGGAAGGGGGTGAAAAAGGGGGGTGGAGGTGCTTTCCAAGGGGGTGGCACACATGCGTGCATCCTTAGACCCCATCCTCGTCCCATCCAGCACTCGTATTATCTTTGGCCAGCGGCGTGTAAATCATTTTGTATGCATTAAATCGTCTTCCACCTGTTAAGCCCCCCTTCTCAACCCCCTCTCAACCCACGCCCTTGAGCCAACTCATTTATATACATGGATTCCTCTTCTTCCATACATGTATTTTTATTTTTTTGCACCCATTTTTTGTCTACATTTTTCGAGTTCTCATCTCTGGTTAGTTTTTAAGCAAACCAAATTAGTTACGCATGTGTGCCACAAAAGGCGAATTTCCGCTAATTTACTGAGCTGCATTACAAAAACCCCCCAGCGATGTCAGAAGCAGTGTATTTTTAGAGAATATTAATAAATGGAAATTCTAAACGGGAACATTTTTCCACATATTTTTACTTGACGTTGATCAGTAAGTTAAAACCTGTTAGAAATGTACCTTTTATGGCATTAATTGAAAAATAGTTTTTTGTCTATAATCCTTTTATGCATAATAATTTTTTTTTATTTAATAGATATTTCGTTCATGGATAGGTATTATATTTCAAATTAACTATACTTTAGGTTATTTTAAGCACCGTATTTATTTAAAATACATTTAAACTGCAAATGCTAAATTTTACCCATACTGATCAAATTCCAAACCCCTGGCTACGAACTTCTCACTACTTTTGGGTGAAAAGAAAAGATTTCCACACACACTCGCACGGACACTTTAATAAAGACAAATGCCAAATTGCCTGCGGGCACATTTTTGGCCCGAGGAAAACTCCCAGTGTTGGCAAGTTTATTAATGTTTGACCAAGGGAACCGGAAGAAAAGCCCCGAAAAAACATTTGCGGTGTGTGCGTGTGTCAACTGCTTTCTGCTAATTTGTCTCCAAGGAAATCATCGCTGGGTTCGCGGAACTTTTTTTTATTAGGTTTGTTTTGAATATGCTCACTTTTTATGACCCGGAAATTTTCACCAGCAAAAATCATTATAATTTCCAGCGAAATTTGTTGGAAAAGTTGGAAATTAATTAGGTGAAAGGAACGGCAGGAGGAGAACACTTATTCCGTGTCGTTGGCCATGGATTCCAGTTGTTTTGTTTGTGATGTTTTTAAAAACTCCTGTGTTCCTTGAAATGTAAACAGAACACAAAAAGTATAGTAGTATATTAAGTAATTATGGGACTTAAAAAGATATGCATAATATTTGTCATTAAAATAATTAACAATGGGTACAAAATAAATGTAATGAAAATTCAGCTATACAATATGCGCGGTTGGCGTTCTTATAAGGTTTTTACTTTTTGGTGTATGTTATATATATTTTTATAAGAGATATATTTATGGTTCCTTCTACCTGTCGCAGGTACTTTTATCAAAAATACGTTGTATTCTTCACGTAACGGGTATAAAAATACTACAGGTGCTTATCTTTCGTATGTGATTAATTTTATTTGTTCGTAATAAATGATAAATGTGCTTATAATTTAGGTTCTCAGAACAAGAAATTATAGTCTCCAGTTTAATCAAACATACTTAATCTCTTTGAATCGTTGTAAAATTAGTGCAAATAGACGTCCCCTCTTATCTGCAATATGGCGAACTTCGGTTTCTTTTTGTAATAATTAAGGCTCTGTTGTTTGTTCTCATTATATTTCATTTCTAGTGCGATTTCAACCTTCCCTTCGAGTGGTTCTAATTATCCGAAATGCTGAGGTTGGCTTTCTTTTTCTGCTGCTCCCTTATTGTACTAAATTTGAGAGGATCCTCTGCTGATTCGCAGGAAAATGAAAGGGCCGTGTGCATTTTGCACGATCCCCCAACACAATGTGGCGCCTTCTGTTTGTCCGCATTGCACCCGCTATTTGACCACAACCGTAAAATGCGAAACAGGTTGGATGTGATCGAGGAATATAACAAAAAGGCAGTCACAAAAGAAGACTTTGATGCGAAATTGAAAGCTGCCAATTCCGAAATACGGTACCAACTTCGGAGTCTTCGGGCAGGACTTACAGAAATACAAACCAAAATGCTAAATCATGAGGAACTACTTGAGCGAGCCGCTTTTAATATTCCCCCGGAGTTCGAGAAAATAAGCAATAGGTTCTTTTATATAGAACGAACAACTAAGCTAACCTGGATAGAGGCTAAAGTCAAATGTCGTGAGATGGGAGGTTATTTGGCAGCGATTCAAAACCAACATGAATTTAATGCCATCAAAGTGAAACTCAGCCACGATACGCAATACTGGCTTGGAATCAACGATATACAAAAGGAAGGGGAGTTTGTATCTGTTGCCTCTGGAAGACGAGCTCCATTTTTAAAGTGGAGGGAAGGAGAGCCGAATAATAGTGGGGACGGCGAGGATTTCGTTATTCTGAATAACGGAAAAATGAATGATTGTTGGCGTGAAAGTAAAGAATTTTTCATTTGCCAATCAGATGACAAAATCTAAATGAAAACAAAAAACTATTATTTCAGCGAATGAGGCTCACGATAAATGAATAAAAAATTGTATACAGTGATCTATTTCAATAAAAACCAGAAAGTAAGCCCTTTCTCATTCCTATTAAATTAAAAATAAGAAAATGTTAAATTTCGTTTTATTTTGTTATTAATTTATCTATGTCAGCTATATTATACAGAAACTGAAATAATTTTTCGATAATGAAATTAAATTAAAAATGCAGAAATTAAAAAAAATGTAATCCGCAATCGTAGAAAGTTAGGTGTATATCAACAAACACTAACGCAATAATTTTTAAAACAAATATTTTCCGATCATTCCTATGGGAGCTATATGATATAGTTGTCCGATCAGCCTGGCTCCGACTTACCAGGAAAAAAAAGAAGGCTTTTGGGAAAATTTTAGCTCGATAACTTCATAACTGAGAGACTAGTTGGCAAGGGAATACAAATATATAATAGATATCCAACGAATAATGCTTATTTTAAAAAGATAAAATATAATATATATAAGTATAAAAAAAAATGTTACCATAAAATAAGAAAGTTAAGTATAATACTACTGTTTTTTGTCTTTGTTCAGCCTCAGGATCCTTAAAGCTCCCCCGTACGAAACCCAACTCTCCATCCTTTCGGCCTGTGGCAGGGAATTAATTTCTGTGCATATATCTCAAGGCTTTAACACATTTTTCACCAAATCTTGTTAGTTTGGGTTGAGCCTCATTGGATTGGGGATTGGGGGGCGGGCCCCAAATGAGGGGGCGTGGCGAACAGTGGCGCGTCAACATGATTAACGCTTTATTATGAAATTGTGTGCGCGGCTGCCGTTCGTATATACAAAAAAATATATATATATTTATATGTATTTATCCTGGCACATCCTTGCGCCAGCCGCTTCCTTCTGTTTGTTTTTCTTTGCTCCACTCCCATGGCGCTGGAATAAATGTGAATACTTTTTTATAATTAATTGACACATGTGTGCAGTGGCTCCTTTATCCTTTATCCTCGGGTTAAACTGCACAAATAATTAAACTAAAGGCGTCTGCTCAGCAACGGAAATCGCTGTCAATTCATTTTGCCGCATTTTAAATGCTCGAAAGTAATTTAAAAAAAAGGGGGAGAAAAGGGAAAAAAGACGCCCCGAAATAACGAAATGTATACAAGGATCGAAGGGATATCGATGGGATGGCTGGCTACTGGCTGTTGGATGCTGGATGGCTGGAAATTTATTGTTTTTGCCATTAGCGCTGCGCAAATGCGTGGAAAGTCGGAAAAGCGGAGGTGGAAAAGCGGAGGTGCCACGAAAGGGTCTTTTGCCAGAATTGATGTCGATGAGTTTTCGTTAATGTGCGAATATTTATTAAACGGAATTGGCGTCGGGCGAAAACCCCACCGAATGGCCACAGACGCGATCGTTGTGGGTTAATTGAAATGCGTAAGGAAGGGCTAAAAAGTCTTAAAGTTTAAGGTGCAAAGCAGTAAAAAATTGAAGATTTTTTAAACATGATAATTAAAATCAATTTGTATGTATTTTAATGAAATAAATTTAACCATTCAATATATATTAGGTATATTATTATATATATTTATTATAAATGCCAAAGGAAAAAATGATTACATTTGCAACAAAAATAGGCTTTTTGGAATTTAATAGCGATAATTATATATATTAAAATTTGCTACATATAATCTGCTAAAATAAATATAGCTATTTAATTTATTTCACTTCAATCAAATAACATGTTTTATTTGTTTTGAATGCCAAAGAAAATTATAATTAAATCAAAAATATTTCGTAAGTTTTCGTGGAATTCAATTATGTTAGCTTAAACAACTTGAACAAAAACATACTTCTGATTCGCATTATACATTAAATACCAAGCACCATTTTTTCAGCTTTTCAAGCATCCTTTTTTCATTTGAGGCAACTGTACTTTTTCCCCATTATTTTTCCCCCAGTTTTTAGTGTCTGCCTGGCATAATTTTTTTGTTCTTTGCTTTTTTATTGCATATTTGTGTATAAATTTGTTCGCCCAACTCTTTGGCGGCTGCTCATTAGCCGCTTGTCCAGTTTGCTCATTTGCCTGGCCATTAACCGGCTTCAACTTCAACTGCAGTTGGGTCGAAACGAAACCCTTAACCCTTTGACGCCCCCAGCTGACCCAAAAACTTTTGCCACTTGCCGGCCATTGTTGTCGTTTTAAAAATCCAGAAAGAGTGTGAAAGAGTGCGGAGAAAGGCGGCAAATATCGGGGGAAACTACAGCAATTAAATGCTGGGCGTGCGAAAACTTTAAGGCGGTCCAGGGGGGCGTGGCAACTGGGAGAAAAATATTGTAAGAAATTTAATATGTTTTCATTTTTAATATGTTGAATAATTTAAATATTTTTTTATATTTTTTTATGTTAAATATTTTGTAAATATATTATAGATATTTATAGTAATAAGCTATTTAATATAATTTTTAATTACCTAAACATTTCTTATTTAAATCAGATCCAATTTATTTTCTTCATATGGAAAATTCTAAATCAAATTTTTATTTTTATATTTCAATACTATGTAAATGTTTTAAGCATATTTATAATAAATAGCTATTTAATAAGTTTTGTAAATACCTAAACTTCTTTAGTACTTAAATCAGATAAGCTGACTATGAAGATTTGTTTTTGATTTGTTTTGATTTATTTTTGAATTTAAAAATATTTTATTATCTTTATGTTGAACACAAAAATTGATTTCGATAAATGCATTTTTCCAGTGCCCTTGCCTTCAGTTTGAGTTGAGGTGAGTTGACCAACAACCGTCGAAGTTCGTTGGCGGCGACAATCAATTTACCTGACGCCAGTGAAGAGCTGGGTGGAGGTGGGTGGTGGGTGGTTAGTGGGGGCTGTTATCCATGGCCATATAAAGGGAGAAGGTGGTCCGCAGGTCCCTCCATCGCGTGATAAATGAGAAAAGTTTTTAACGCCGCCCGCTCAGGTCGGCTCATTGGCATTTTTACGATGTCCCTGCGAAAGGGAAAAGGGGAGTGGAGAAAGGGAAAGCCCAGGGAAAACGCTGGGAAAACCAGGGGAGCCATGGACAAATAGGCAACAAATGAGACGAGCCTGGGATGCTTAATAGAAAAACTGAAGCGTATGGGAAAGCGAAGGGGGCATTGTTCGGTTAAGAACGTGGGGAGTGGTGAAAATCGGGTGGAAAATCGCTTGGAAAATCGGGTGGAAAAGCGACGTGCAATGAGTGGTGGGTGTTGGCTGGTCGAGCGGGGCACTTAAAACTTTTTAGCATGCAACCGCGAAACGTTGCAGCTGGCAAACTTTTTTCGGGTACCCTCAAAAAAAAAAGATGGAGAAAGCACAACCCAAAATTGTGTGTGTGACGGGGGGGCATTGTAAAAGGTGGTCCCCAATGGGTTGTCCCTGGTCATGACCAAAGCCTGTCAGCAATTAAAAGTACAGAGCCAAGTTATCGCCCTCCATTGACGACAATAAAAGTACTCTATTGGCGAAAATATTTTACTGACTTTTGGGAATAGCTATGCACACGAAATAATGAAGAATCATGATATATATATATATATGGTACCAATATTATTAAAAACCATTCTTTTTGGATTTTAAGTTAGTTTTAATAAGTTAGATTTCAATATGTTAGATGGATTTAAAAATTGTAAATTAAAAAATATATATTATTTTAGGTAGGAACTATTTGCAAAAGCTAGTTGTACAAATTGCAGATTAAAAATACTATAAAATCAAAGACTACATCGACAGAAATATTTTACTGCTCTTTAGGAAAATCTATGCACGAAAAAAACATTTAAAACCATTCTGTTTTGATTTTTGTAATTTATAAATATTGCTTAAATTAAATTTTGCCTAAAGGATTAAGCAATAAATGATTTTTTATAACTCTATATTTTCCTGGTTTAAGCAAAAATTATAAATAATAAAATACTATAAACCCAAAAACCAATCAGTTAAAAAGTAGTTATAAATTTGATTGTGGGCCCTAAGTGCATTTTATGGCCTTAATTAAAATGTTTAATTTTTAAAAGGCTAATTCAATTAGAATAAATAAGTTCCTCAGAATAAATTAAAATTATATGGAGTTAATATTAATATTAACAAATAGTTTTATACCATCAGGTCTCTATAAAATGGCAGAGAGTTCTGACAACTGACGATGGGAGCCGCAGAGTTGTCGTTAGATGCCTCCAACTGCGACAAAAGGCAAAAAAAGAAGCTGAATAAAACTAAAAAAAAAAGAAGGGAGAGGGGAAAGCGTCTGACTTTTGACCGCGGGCAGCAAAAGCGTGACAAAAAGCGTGACCCGAACTTTATTTTTTTTGTTAGAAGAAAAAAAGAGAGGAAAATAGACGGGGAGGAGTGGTTCAGTGGTGCAGAGGAGCTGCGGTCTTTTGTGGCTGGTTTTGTGTCTGCTAACAAATTTCAATAAATTACAGTTACATTTGCCAAAGTCCGAGTGGCCTTGGGTGGGCGGTATAGGACCACCCCCACCCCCTGATGCTTGTCTGTCTCTTTCGCTCCTTCAACCCTTTCTCCCAAAAAGTGTCCTTTGTGTCTGCGACTGGCGACTGCATAATTCAATTTGTGTGAAAGTTTGGCGAGTGCGTGGTGGAGAGTTTTTAGAACCAGAACTCCACCGCCTCCCCCTTTTTTTTTTACCACCCCCTCATTACAGACGCCACCCAGACCATTTTCCGCCAAAAAGGAGCAACTAATGCGGCACATAATTCAAACCAAAGCTAGGAATTGCGGGTTTTGTAAAAGGGGCCAAATGTTTGGCAGTCAGGGGTTAAGAGTCACGTGGGCGGAGACACCAGCGAGTGTAAACCGTAATTATAATTGGTTTTTGCAATGCCATCCAGTGATTTCAGAGACTCAAAGAGGTGAGAGGTTAGTTGCCAGCATTGCTCAAAATATTGTGCCCCTAAGGGTATAGAAATTTAAAATTAAAACATATAAAAGTAATATAATACGTTTTATAGGGGAATTCTTTTAAATTTAATTTTAAATTTAATTTGAAGTATGTGGATGTTATTACCTGTTTTGAATGGGGTTAACATGGTGGGGTTAACCCAATCCTAACCCCACCCTAACCCCTCCCTAACCCCTTTCGTAGACCTCCCTCGATCCTTTCGAAACTCTTGTATCTCGGTGCATTGATCTGATTTTCAATTGTTGCCGGCGGGCCAAAGGCGAAGAAATGCTGCAAACATTTTGTTGGCAACCGAAAATCGTGTGTCGGCTATAAATCAGGCTCAAACAGGGGCGGCGGGCCAAGGGGGTGGCCAAGGGGGTGGCCAAGAGGGGGTTAAGGGCAGAAAGGCGACTGATTACGTGGTTTAAAGTCCCGACCGGGCCAAAACGAAACTAACGATTTCACGCTACATTTGCTGCTCGAAGGAAGCAAAAAAAAATAGAAGACGAAGTGGGGGTTTTTAGGGGGAGACAATGTCTGACCAGGGACATTCCAAAAACACACACCACCCCCTTTTGTTGTTGGCCATATTACATAGTTGAGTGCATTTATTTATTTGCTTGTATGTCAACCTGTTTGTCTCCTTTTCAATTTTCCAAGGGAAAAGGATAACAAAAAATACAACAACAAAAAAAAGCAAGAAAAATGGAAGGGCCAGAAACTGACCCCATTGATCCTGGCCAAGTTCTTGATTAACTTATTATGCTCATTTGATTGCTCGATTTAATTTGCCATTTCTTTCATCTCTTTCCATTTTTCTCCTCTCTCTCTCTTTCTCTCCTTTGCCGGGCGGCAAAAGTTTTTCGGCTCTTTGGAAAATTGAATTTTCTTTTGATGACTTTTTCCGGCCTTCCCATTGTCGTTGTCCACTGCCGCTGCTGCCTAAATTCATTTCCATTGTTGGCAAAAATTTAATTTCAAAATTAATTTCATTTTTTATTCCGTTCAATTGTTAATAGCCCGCATATGCATGCGTTTGTATTCATATTTCAAACGGACACAAATTGCCTTTGCCTCTATTTTATTATTGTTTATTGTGCTCGTTTGATTTGATTTGGAAATTTTCAATTTCATTTTGCGATTTTTTTTTGTTTTGTTGTGTTTTTGTTTGAGGACAATTTTTTGTCAGTGGATAAAGGAGAATATAAATAAACCACATACTTTTCAAAGAAACATTTAGTTGTTGACACATTTTCTTTATTCAAAAATAATATAAATCATATGTAAGTATAAATATATAAGTATACATTTTCAAAATGCTATGGTTTTAAAATATTATAAACGTGTTGGTTTAAAATATATATTAAAAATTCTATGAGTTTCCTTTAATCTACATTTCGCTGTCAAATTTGCAAACAAACATATACAGGGGTGTCACAGAAATCTCTTCCAACCGAAGACGGTTGGATTTTGCATTGATGCACGTACGAACTTTAACGGATTTCGGTTGGAAATAATTTCTGTGACACCTCCGATAACTATTGGAACATGTAGTTTCGTTTATAAATCCCTCATTCGTTAATACAACGCAATCCTCATTATTGTCTTTGTTATTGGGTTCATCCTTATCCCAGATCATAAATATTTCCCCCCATCCGGTGGCCTCAGATTTGTAATAGCCCTCGTCTTCCTGATCGCTGGAGCCAATCCAGTAAGGACTATGTAATAGTCTCCCTTTGACGGCATCAACTTCCTCTTTATTCCGGAATGAAGCAAGATAGCCACCCATTTGACGACATGTGGATGAAGCATTGTCCCAAGTTTGATAATGAGTTTTTTCGATGTAATAGTACTCTTTGCCAATTTTCTCGAACTTTGGCGGAATGATGTTTACTTTGGTAGTGGAAAGCGTTTCACGAAAGGCAGCTTGAAACTCTTCTCCTTGGCTCCCCAGTTTGTCCTTTAGGTCCTGTAGAGTTGACTGTATTTTCAGATGCTGGTCCTCCATTCTCCACAGTCTCGAATCGAATTGTTTTTGACATTTTTCAATATCTTGCCGGAGTTCTCCATTCGTTTCGGTTTGAAAAGATTCATAAGAACCTGTATGCTGACCACTCAGCATTGTTTGCACCACCTCAAGGACATCCATGATTAACTTCAACTGGTTTTCCAGGCTGCTCTGTAGAATCTGATGTTGGCTCTGCATTTCTAACTTAATGGCCATTAGTTCTGCCTGAGTTTCCGTATGTTGGTCTTCGATTCTTGATTCCAACGCCTGCAATTGACCATCGGTTCTATTTAATCCAGACTCGAAATCCTCTTTCGTGGGCATCCTTTCAAAGGAGTTCTGGATTTGTATTTTCTGGGCCTCCAGCCTGGACTGCATTGCCAGGAGTTTCGTCTGTGTAGACCGCTGCTCGCCTTGGATTCCATCCAACTTAATCTTTGTTTCACTAATTAAATCGATCATCGGATGGAGTTTGGTGAGGCAGTAATGGCCACACTGACTAGCAGGATCGTTCAGTTGACAATCAGCCAATAATCCTTGCAAGTTAAGCAGAATAAAGGAACACGAGATGAGAAATGCAAGCTTTAGCATTTTTAAGAGTTATTACTACTTGAAAACAGGTCTTAAAGTACAATGAATTGGTTTTTTTTTTTTAATAAATAACGAAGACTCTGTTTTTACTGATAAGGCACCATGGCTATTCAAAAACTACACACAAAAAAATTTGCTTGGTAAAATTGACCAAAAAAGATAGTTACGTAACTATTAAAATAGTTACGTGTATTTTGTTTTTGCTTTGGGTTTGTGTCTTTGCTAATTGTGTGTATTTTGTTGTTGTGAAATGACTATTTGCTTAGTAGAATTGACAATTTTGCTGGTTGGGGACTGTTTGACAATTATTACAGTTGATTTTACCAAGTTTTTTTTTTGTGTGTACGTGGCCTTATAAAAAACGGGCTAGACTTTAAAGAATGAAGAATATTTGATTCCACGAAAAATAACGAACGAAAAATTTAATTATACAGAACGCTAAATAATAAAACAAATGGATTATTTTAATCCGTTGATCGAAGAATCAGGGTATTCTTGTGCTAGAATCCATAAAAATGATTTTTCATAAGAAAAATGATAATAGCTCTTTTATGTTTAGGAGAACTTTGGGTGCGTTATATTGAATATTAAATATTTGTAATTTTTATATTTTACGATTTTATTAGTAATCCAATGAATGAGTCTAATTTCATTTAAAAATCAATAAACATTTTTGTTAAGGAGAAAAATGAAAAAAAAAATGATTTGGAAAATGTGATCAAAAATTGAAAGTAAGTATAATATAAATAAATCATTTTTATTATCCTAAGAATTACTTTAATATTAAAAATGATCCTATTAATATGGTAAAACAGCCGTTGAAAATTCCTTACTTATATTTGACTCATCAATAATTTGTATACTTCAAATGAATAAAAGCAAAAATAACCAAATTAAATTATTTCAAACAGGTAAAAAAGTATCGAAATGTTAAATACAACATTAAGCTTAATATTAAAAATTACAAACAAATTTTTTAGCATGCTCTAGTTCTGCTTTTTATACGCCGTACGATGCGTAAATCAAATGCTGATTAAGTGCGATTTTTCGCGCATAAATTAAATCAGAATTATTGGCCGAAAGCGGACTGTCAGCGCCCACGCGTCCTGTGGTTTGGGCCAATGCGAATTGCTTTCGGCCAATTCGGGCCGACGCGTTGTCATGGCGTTCCAAGGACCACAAAAGTGCGAAAAGTTCAGCAGCGACGCTAGGATGTTTTTTCAAAAATTTCCATTTAACAAATAGGCTTTTTTCCCAGAGGCGAAAAACCTCAACTAATAATATATTTTATATTGTTTTTTTTTTAACCAAATTTAAATGGTTCCTTATATTATATATCAATAATTATTATTTTTTTTTAAAATAATAATTTAATTTATCTAATGTTAAAATCTATTAATTGTTAATTAAAATGAATATAATAAATTTGGATAGAAAAATTGCCAAACTTGTCAATCAACCCACTGGTGTCCAGGAATTGGTATTATCAATTTTCTGCTACTCATTTGGCATTATTTTGCTTTTTTCCCCATTTTGGTGCTGCGTGATTTTCAATCGGTGGCGGTGCAACATGGCGTATGCTTATCAAATTAACGAATTACCCACTTTTACAATGGCCCCCGTCCGGCATTTTCCGCTTTCCGCGAGCGTATGCGGTTGCAATAAATGATAATCGTGCTGGGGACTCCCCTTAACCCTCGTGCGCCCCCCACTGCCCGCCTTAACCCTTGCCGCTTCCTTTTTGATGGTCGCTGCGGCTGCGTTGACCAAAAGTCGTAAATTCCGTTGTTGCCATTTGCCGCAGAAAAACAGTGGGTGGTGGTGGTGGTGGCTCAGTGGGTTGGTAACAACAATGCAAACAGTGCCACAAATGCACAAAATACGAGGAGAGCCACCCAACCACCCACCACCCACTGGGCCAAGCCCACCGCTCAACGTTCGACATAATTAAAAGCGCGCGCCGTTTACGCAATTAATGAACTCTCGCCAAATTAGGCTGCGGCAGAGCGCAGACAAGCAAAATGGCCAGGATCCCGGGATCCTGGATCCGGGACTCGGAACTCACTGCACGGACCCACATGCACTGCGCGAAAATATGCCCTATCTTTGAAAGCAATCAAGCAGTTTTATAGTTCAATTCGATGGGAGAACTGTCTTGGGTTTTTTTTTTTTTATTTTAATTTTATTAGTTGCACAAAATATGAATAATTTAATTTAAAGATTTTTAAAAATGATTAATCAATTTATTTAGTTAGATTTGATTTCATTTGGTAAATAAATAAATAATATTTGTAAGAAATATGTATTTTTATATTTTTGTATAAAAACCTAAAAATGTTTAATAAGAAATTGTTATATTCAGTATTAAATATATTTGTATTTTAAAAAATATATAATATGCCTAACATTATTGATAAGAAATACATGTTTTAATTTGAAAAACCTAAAAATGTTCGATTACAAAATTTTAAATTATTAAATTTATTTGTTTTAGTCCAAAAATGGCTCCATAAGTTCCTGTAATAAATAATTCTCCGAATCGTGATTGAGTTGCAAAAACCAATGGATACTCGCTAGCCTTTTTTCTCTCTGTAGGAACGCACTCATACAGAGACACTGGGCTTGCGGTTTTCGCGGTCGAGGCGGGCGATGGCAAAATGGAGCTGCAAAAACCGCGCCGCTTTTTGCCGCATTGCAGGAGGCGAACCTTTGTTGCACCAAATGTGAGGGGGTGTGGAAAAGCCAGGGGGATCCCCCTACCCGGAAGAGGGTAGGGAAACCCGGGGAGGCGGCCAACAGGGAGCCGCATTAATGGTCGCCAGTAAAACAAGGCGACATCACCTAAGCCTTGTCACCACCACATCGCCTGCCACTTTTTGGTAACATTTTCACCCCAGGGAAACCGCTTAAATTCTACATTTTATTTTATCCAACTAAAAACAAATTCATTTGTTAATTTTGAGGCATTACAAAAGCAATAGCTACCAAATTAAAAAAAAAAAATGGTTCATAAAAACACTAAAGTAATGTGAATAAAAAAATATTTAACGCTATTTACATACATTTAATATTCAGTATTTTTTGCTCACTTCCGAAAAAAAGGAATTTAATATTATCAATTAAAAAAGCTAGAAAATTATAAATTACAACTTGTGAAATATTTTAATCTTTTAATTATTATGAAACAAAACCGAAGAGTTAAATATTTCCGATACAAATGAGCTACTTATTAAAATGCATATTTTCTACTATTTTTTTTCGGATCCTTGCGCTTTTTTTTAAGAACTTTTCCCAATAATACACATCCGCAATTTTAATAAATACAAACAAAAGTCATGTTTATTTACCACTTGTTCATTTATTTGTCTTTTTTAGCTTCCATTTCAATCTTAGTCTACGCATAAAAAATAAACAAAAACGGGTCACTTCAATTCCATTTAATATTTCATCTTCTCACTTTTCATACTTACAATTAGGCGAAAAAAAATGTGTACTATGACTATATATATTGTTGTTTTTCTGCTTATGTTGTGTTTTTGCTTCAAATGTACATCAGTTTTACATTATGTGTATGAAATGGAAAAATCATAGTTCAAAGTCGTTTTTTGGGGGAAAGGGGTGGAGAGTGGGGGGAAGAGTGGAACAAAACCAAAAGGGGAAAAGTTAATAAATAGGAAAAAAAAAATAGTAAAAACAGTAAATATATATGTATAATTGAAATGCCAGGCTAAACAGAACCATTGATTTGTTTAAATTTCCTTCTTATCGGCGGGTGTTTGCGTCGCAGTCGCAATGGAAGTAGTCGTAACGGCAGTCGGCGAAAGTTTCGATCCACTGGACAGATCCAAGTCACTGGCACTATTCTGTAATGAAAAAGGGAAATAAAAAATAGGGGTTGTTCAAAAGAGCAAGCGATATTTTCGATATTCTGCCAATATTGATTCGATAACGTCGATGTTTTGAAGGGAAACGCACAAATTAAATATCGAAAAATAGCAAACTGTCGATACTTTGTCAAGCTCTAGTTAATATGCCTGCGTCTTTGCTCTTTAATACATTTTATTACTTTATTATTTTGTTGCCCTGAGCAATAATAACAAAATACTTGAAGCGAATGCATTTGTTTATGGCAAATAAATTGCTGTTAATTTAGCAACAAAATATGCAGAAAAAATCAAAGGAGTGCCTCTAACATGCACAATTACAAAACTCATATACAATTTATATCAAATGTAAAATATATATATATTACTAAAACCTGTACTTAAACCAAGCCATCCGAATATTTAAGCCTCGCCTTTGCAATTTATCATACTTTGTAGGTTTTTATAGAGGTTTTTAAAGGGCATATTTTAAAATATAAATTTAAAAATATAAGTTTAAAAACGCTTCGAAGTTGATTTTCCTCATTACTACTTTCTAAACGACATATGAATATTTTCTTAATAAGTTATCCGGCTAGAACCGAGGTCATAGGTTCAGAATGCTCACCTTCATCTCCTTGCGCAGCTTCATCGACTTGCCCATGCTCTGGAGGCGGTAGCGCTCCTTGGCCCGCTCGCGGATCTTCTCGGGCACCACCCACAGCGTGGTGGCCATGTTGCCCACGAAGAGCAGCAGGAACAGTCCGCTCATCACGGACACGTGCCACGGCGCATCCGCCGGGCTGTAGGCCAGCTTGTAGAGCGTCCAGGCGTTGTACGCCTGAAAGCCGTAGCCGATGAACAGGAAGGGCAGCAGGAAGCTCAGGCCGCGCCACATCCACGAGTGGAAGCCCTCGATTGTGATGTCCATGTTGTGGCGCTCGCCGAGGGCCTTTAGCCGGTAGAGCAGGCCCTTCTGGTAGCCAAACTGCAGGTATTGGACGATGCCTGTAATGGAGAGTGGGCGGTTAAAAGGCCGATTACTTATAATGAACTCAAAATAAAAGGATTTTTGGAGAATAAATCATAATAAAATCTGTGAAAATTGATTTTATATATATTTTATACCACGTTCAT